GATTGCTTTACTTGAATTCACTTTCGATTTAAAGCTTTCGTGACTGCAGGGATTCATCTTCTTGTTTCTTTCGGTAAAGTCACGTAGAAGGGAAGTAATAAAATAATAAAAATAAAACATAATAAAACAATTCTCACGACGTTTCGGCTACAACGCAAGCAGCCGTCTTCAGGTGAAGAATGAGACACTACCAAACTAGGAGCTTATATATAAGCTGCATTGGGGGTTGAAGAGCGCCTTAACAAAAAGAATGTGCATGTGAAGAGGGATTTAGCATATTCATGGAAAATGCGTAGGCGTTGGGCGGGGGGGTGTCAAAGTCATATTATGCCCATGCATTATGCAGGATCAGCAGCAACCAAGGGGGGTGCAGGGATTAGCAGTAACAAAGGAAAGGAATGTTAATGATATGTAGCTGCAGTTACTCAACAACCACGTAGAAAACTAAAGTATAAACTACATAAAAAACTAAAGTATAAACTGCATCGCACCATCAGTATATTTACTATACTCTATAATAAGCTGAGTTACTAACAGCAAGTAATACATTACAATTTTACCTCGTAAAAATTTTTTAATATGCTTCCATCTAAACCTTATTCTCTTACATCACACGAGCATATACCGTACTATATACTGCCATAGATAAACCCAACATTAAATTATATACTGTATTGCTGTAAACCAACCTATATCTTATACATTTAATATCACACTATGTATTATTCTACACACCCTAATGTGTATCGAAATGGTTTATTACGTCCTTCCAATGATTGCTGAGCCAGAATCCATCTTCTCGGTTAAAATTGTCTCTGTGTTTGTATATGTGGATCGCCTCATGAACGAATCTCTCATGATAGCCAGATGGCTTGCAGAGAACCTCTGTCTTGGAGAAGTCAATATCATGTGAGCCCACTGAGTTGTAACAGTGATCTGCCACGGCTGAGGTGTTAGTCCTACCGTGTTTCAGGTCAGCTTTATGTTCACGGATGCGGTCCGAGACATGTCGTTTGGTTTCACCAATGTAACTGCTACCACAGAGGCAACTTAGTTTGTAGACGCCAGGGTACTGTATGTCTGGAACCACATCTTTTACAGACGGTACCAGATCACGGATTTTATGTACTGTGTTGAATCGGACCTGGATCTTGTGTTTAATCAGGATTTTGGAGATCTTTTTTGTGACCCCAGCAATGTAGGGTAAGGTGATGGTCTTGAAAGGCTCCTCAACAGGATCCTTCTTGATGGTTGGAGTGATGGCTTTGCGGATTGTATAGTCGGAGTAACCATTTTCCTTAAGAGCTTGGCGTACGTGTTTGAGTTCACTGGAAATGTGTTCATGGTCGGAGATGCATTGGGCTCTATGATATAGAGTCTTGATGAGGGAATTCTTCTGGGATGGATGGTGGTGGGAATCCGGTTTTAGATAAGCATCCGTGTGGGTGGCTTTCCTGTAGACAGAGTGGCTCATTGAACCATCAGGTCTCCTTTTGATTAGGACATCCAAAAAGGGTAGCTTGCCATCATTTTCGACTTCCATGGTGAATCTGATGGCTGGGTGTATGGAATTGATGTGGTCGAGAAATTGGTCTAGAGCAGGCCGGCCATGTGGCCAGATGACAAAAGTGTCGTCTACGTACCTCTTCCATAAGGTCGGGCGTAGAGTGGCAGTCTGGATGGCGTCCGTCTCAAATTTCTCCATGAAGATGTTGGCTACAACCGGAGATAGGGGGGAGCCCATTGGGGTGCCCTCAATTTGCTTGTAGAAGGTTCCATTCCAGGTGAAGTATGTATTGGTTAAGCAGTGTCTCACCAGGGGGGGTACCCCAGCATTCAGTCCTTGATGAACCAAGTCTTCAATGATTGCGATGGTGTCAGGCACAGGTACCTTGGTGAACAAGGAAACCACATCAAAACTGACAAGCAGGTCGTCTGGGGACAGGGCAATCCCCTTGATTGTCGATACCAGGTCAGTAGAGTTTAGTACTGCAGAGGTGGTTTTTCCAGTGAACAACATCATTTCTGCTTCAACCGCATTAATTGATCAGACCAAACAGTTTTCGTTGAAACCTTCTGCAGCCAGACCACCAAGATTGTACGGCTTGCCAAAGATACATAAAGAAGATACACCTCTTCGTCCCATTGTCTCTACTATCAACTCCCCCACTTACAAACTGGCTCGTTTTTTGTCCGAAATCCAAAACCAACAACATCATTTCTGCTTCAACCGCATTAATTGATCAGACCAAACAGTTCTCGTTGAAACCTTCTGCAGCCAGACCACCAAGATTGTACGGCTTGCCAAAGATACATAAAGAAGATACACCTCTTCGTCCCATTGTCTCTACTATCAACTCCCCCACTTACAAACTGGCTCGTTTTTTGTCCGAAATCCTACGGCCTTTCACTGGAAAAACCACCTCTGCAGTACTAAACTCTACTGACCTGGTATCGACAATCAAGGGGATTGCCCTGTCCCCAGACGACCTGCTTGTCAGTTTTGATGTGGTTTCCTTGTTCACCAAGGTACCTGTGCCTGACACCATCGCAATCATTGAAGACTTGGTTCATCAAGGACTGAATGCTGGGGTACCCCCCCTGGTGAGACACTGCTTAACCAATACATACTTCACCTGGAATGGAACCTTCTACAAGCAAATTGAGGGCACCCCAATGGGCTCCCCCCTATCTCCGGTTGTAGCCAACATCTTCATGGAGAAATTTGAGACGGACGCCATCCAGACTGCCACTCTACGCCCGACCTTATGGAAGAGGTACGTAGACGACACTTTTGTCATCTGGCCACATGGCCGGCCTGCTCTAGACCAATTTCTCGACCACATCAATTCCATACACCCAGCCATCAGATTCACCATGGAAGTCGAAAATGATGGCAAGCTACCCTTTTGGATGTCCTAATCAAAAGGAGACCTGATGGTTCAATGAGCCACTCTGTCTACAGGAAAGCCACCCACACGGATGCTTATCTAAAACCGGATTCCCACCACCATCCATCCCAGAAGAATTCCCTCATCAAGACTCTATATCATAGAGCCCAATGCATCTCCGACCATGAACACATTTCCAGTGAACTCAAACACGTACGCCAAGCTCTTAAGGCAAATGGTTACTCCGACTATACAATCCGCAAAGCCATCACTCCAACCATCAAGAAGGATCCTGTTGAGGAGCCTTTCAAGACCATCACCTTACCCTACATTGCTGGGGTCACAAAAAAGATCTCCAAAATCCTGATTAAACACAAGATCCAGGTCCGATTCAACACAGTACATAAAATCCGTGATCTGGTACCGTCTGTAAAAGATGTGGTTCCAGACATACAGTACCCTGGCGTCTACAAACTAAGTTGCCTCTGTGGTAGCAGTTACATTGGTGAAACCAAACGACATGTCTCGGACCGCATCCGTGAACATAAAGCTGACCTGAAACACGGTAGGACTAACACCTCAGCCGTGGCAGATCACTGTTACAACTCAGTGGGCTCACATGATATTGACTTCTCCAAGACAGAGGTTCTCTGCAAGCCATCTGGCTATCATGAGAGATTCGTTCATGAGGCGATCCACATATACAAACACAGAGACAATTTTAACCGAGAAGATGGATTCTGGCTCAGCAATCATTGGAAGGACGTAATAAACCATTTCGATACACATTAGGGTGTGTAGAATAATACATAGTGTGATATTAAATGTATAAGATATAGGTTGGTTTACAGCAATACAGTATATAATTTAATGTTGGGTTTATCTATGGCAGTATATAGTACGGTATATGCTCGTGTGATGTAAGAGAATAAGGTTTAGATGGAAGCATATTAAAAAATTTTTACGAGGTAAAATTGTAATGTATTACTTGCTGTTAGTAACTCAGCTTATTATAGAGTATAGTAAATATACTGATGGTGCGATGCAGTTTATACTTTAGTTTTTTATGTAGTTTATACTTTAGTTTTCTACGTGGTTGTTGAGTAACTGCAGCTACATATCATTAACATTCCTTTCCTTTGTTACTGCTAATCCCTGCACCCCCCTTGGTTGCTGCTGATCCTGCATAATGCATGGGCATAATATGACTTTGACACCCCCCCGCCCAACGCCTACGCATTTTCCATGAATATGCTAAATCCCTCTTCACATGCACATTCTTTTTGTTAAGGCGCTCTTCAACCCCCAATGCAGCTTATATATAAGCTCCTAGTTTGGTAGTGTCTCATTCTTCACCTGAAGACGGCTGCTTGCGTTGTAGCCGAAACGTCGTGAGAATTGTTTTATTATGTTTTATTTTTATTATTTTATTACTTCCCTTCTACGTGACTTTACCGAAAGAAACAAAAAGTTGAATTCACTTATTTTCCTTTCTTGGAATATTTACTCAATCTCTTGTTTTGCACATCTTACAGATTAAAAGAAAATTCTTTTTAAATACCAGCACAATTATCTAGCATGATAGCCGATATAGATTCACATTCGTACATCTATAGGGTGTGCATTCATAGCCTGTTCATGAGCAAAGCACAAACTCCAGACATTGACCAATAAGCCCTCTTGGCACTGACTGCACCCTGCCACTACCTTGTGAACGCTCAGGTTCGAGTGCCCCCGAACTTATAAAAGAGCTGGATATTGAGGAAAACAGCAAATACAACCAACCCCCCTCTCTCCAATGTGTTGTCTGGTTGCACGCGAGAAGCTTTACGGCTTGTGGGGCAAAATGCCGGGACAGCATTCCCAACAGCACGTGTCACATCGGAGAAAGATGTACCGCACAATAATGCAACCTCCTATTCATATTCTTAGGTTTTTTCGGTAAAGTCACGTAGGTAAAAAATTAAAGTTACAATTAATAAAAGTAAAATAAAAATAATTGTAATTTTAATTTTTTTTACCTACGTGACTTTTACCGAAAAAACCTAAGAATATGAATCGTTGCAGTCACGCAAGCTTCAAATCTAGAATGAATGCAACCTCCCTCTGTTGGGGATGTCCACTCAGGGCATATCGTTGTCTTCCGTCCAATGCTTGCCCGTGCGCTTCTTGCGGTTGCGCTCAGCCACGACGATGGCGGCGACGATGGCGACGGCGACGGTGATGGTTATGATGAGCATTGTGGCCGTCTCGGCGACGCACAGCTGACTGTCCATGCTGGCCAGCGTCCTGTTCTGCAACGACGGGGGCCAGTGGCACTCGACATGGCCATAGTCCTCGATGGCCAGGCGACGCACCTGCTCCAGTTTGTTGAACACTCGCTGCAGCTCGCAGTCGCACGCCCAGGGATTGTGGGACAGCTGAATCTGCGTGTCCTGCGTGTCGATGTTCACGAACACCTGCGTGGCACGTAGCGATGGACAGGGCAGGCATGAGACACTCTGGCATTCACACGTGAGCTGAACTTTTAAAGCCACAGCGCGGTTATTAACTGAAATAAATGACATTGGTTGTTTTTGCAAGGAGGTGGTTTGATTTGACGATAATATATTTTAAATGGGTACTGTTTTTATCTCAGTGTAGGTTTAATAAAGTCAAATTAAGCTATTTGAAAATATAAATTTGGAAATAAAATGTCTTATTTGTTGAGCTGATGGGTCGTATGCAATGGAAGAAAATAAGGGTTTGGTCCATCAGCATATGGGCTTTCTGGACCAAAGTTTTACAGGTTAAACTCTGCTGATGATACTCAGTTAAAGTTGAAACCAGTCTGAGGTTTCTCTGCTTAAGCAGACTCTGGAAAACGCTGGTCAAGGAGATCCAAAAGCAAGTTGATATAAAAGTGTTTTTAGTGTTTTATTAGGTAAGACAAACACATGTATGTTATGTAAAAAACTATGTTCCATTGTATACTGTATATCATGATCTGAAGGTGTAGCAAGCGGAGTAAGAATGTATGTATTTTAATAAACAGTGACCCAAAAGAAAGAACACCTAGGGTAATTCCATTTGTTTTAACACTAGCATTCAAACATTTTAATCGTGTAGTTTTACGTTTAATATTTGATCTTTATCATTATTAATATGTATTTCTATTGTTCCTTTTCAAATTGCATCTAAAAATGGAAAGACATTTCACTAAAGAAAAACGAGTTATATTCGTTTCTTTATTTATGCTAAAGAAGCCAGCTGTAACCTTAAAAAAAGTCCTAAATTCATTTATAAAGGGAATTCATGCGTGCATTAATGTTAAGGGAAGTCAGTTTGAGCATTGGTTAAAATAAATGAAATAACCCTTTGTGATTTGTTAAAATATAATAACACTCTGTCCCCTGACTTTTGGGCTTCTGTATATTCCTTGAGGATGTTTCCACCATAAACAATCATGCCACGTGTGAGCACAGATTTAGTTTTTCTCTACAAAGGTGTTGCATTGATAATCCAGAGCAAACACACAGTTTCAGTTACCTTAAATGTTATGTCACTCATGTTATTGTGGCTCAAATCCAAAATGATCAAGCTGCGCAGAGACACAAAGGCGGTGGGCTCGATTGTGGAAATGCTGTTGTTCTGAAGTTCAAGGACCTCCAAGTGCTGCAGCATCGAGAACATCCCATCTGTGAGCACCTCCAGGTAGTTGTTGTTGAGATTCATGTGGCGAAGTCGAGTCAGACTACGGAAGGCACCCACTTCAACGTGTGCTATCTTGTTGTTGTCCAATTTGAGATTTTCCAGCTGTCCCAGACAATGAAACTGCGCGTACGATACGTTCATAATTTCATTGTCGGTGAATTTCAGTTCGGTCAATTCGGACAGGCCATAGCAGAATCCATTCGGGAGGTCTTGTATTCTGTTGCCGCTCATGTCCAGCTTCCGCAAGTTGTCCAGGTTCTGGAAGGCGCTCTCTGCGATGTGCGCCACGTTGCTGTTTCTGACCACGAGGATGTGCAACCTCCGCAGGAGGGTCATGGTTCCGGGACCGATGCGGGTGATGTTGTTGTTGGAAAAATCCACGTGCTCCGTGTCTTGAGGAATGTCACTCGGAATGGCAGAGAGGCCTGCCGACGTGCAGTTGACAAACTTTGCACCTTTGAAGCACGTGCATTCGCTGAAGCACTGGCGAACGGGAGTCCCGTGAAGAGCGTTGATAGTGCCTCTGGCGCTGAGCAGTGCGAACAGCACGTGCTGGATCATGGAACTGAGGATCATTCTCCCCATTTTGTCATTTTAATGGCTTGTCAGACCTGTGAATAGGGAATCCGAGTTATCAATTTTAGTAAATTGCATTTAGGTACATTTGCGTGCAATATATATGAGTACAATACTGTCTTAGTAATTATATCATTACAGTGCTCGCTGTTGCATTAAATAGAGGGTAACTCATTTATCAAATACCACAAGTCTTGAACAATTGCTTAAAGAGGTTGTACAGCATTTATATATAAAGCCCGACCAATATTGTTTTAAATGAAATGTTTCCCATAGGACTTCAAAGCACAACAGTGTTCAAAATTACAATGTTTTGCAAATATAAGGGGGGGGGGGGATATAAATTAATGTGGCATTTTTTGTTGAGTTTAGGGAGCACAAATACACAGGGTTGGCAGCTGTTGGCTTATTAATAGGTTATAAAATACAATACAAGCAATCGTCATCAGATATTATTTCCCTTCGACGTGACTTTACCGAAAGAACCAATGAGTAATTCCTGCAGTCACGAACGCTTCAAATAAAATACCTTTAAGCGTTTATTTATGTTGTACACAAACAAAAAACGTCCGGTAGGATTGTCTTTTTAATTAGAAGACTAATGGCTATAACACCGAACTGTAATGTACTTTGATAGTTTTCACTATCACGAATGTGAACACACATTTAGTGACCTTCAGTCGCAGGGTCCAGCACGATTGTTTAACGGGAAGCGTGCTTAGGAGCCACCCTGTGTGTTGCTAGCCATGCGATACCCAGACATGCAATTAACTTTGAACGCTGTGAGCTCACAAATACATTCTAATGCAAACTCGAATGCGCATTTCGCAGCTCCAGTCGCACGGTCCGGTATGATCGATTGACAGGAAGCATGCTCACCTGCCGAGCGGATTGGGAGCCACCCTGCGTATCGCTGGAACACCATGGCATGGTCAAGGAACTCTCTCGCTCCGGGTGCCGAGCACGGGAGCCCAGAGCTGGGAGAGGTGGCGAGGCCATACAGCCCTGAACCTGAGATCATCCTCATCACAGAGTCACCTGTCTCAGCCTGTTACTCCCTCCACGTCGTATCCAGAGGCCAGCTCATCACCCAACGCCGACCCACCCATCTCCCCTCCCCCTACAGCCCCCTCTCTCTCACACACACACACCGGTGAGGCATTTGCTTTTATGACCGTAAGGTAAATGGTTGGTTTCATTGGTGTTGTACTTAATAGAATGCATAATGGAATGTATAACAAAACATGATTAAAGAGCTTGACAGGGAAGGCTGTGGATCTGAAGATGATAATTAAACTTTTTTCTTCTTGGTTCTTTCGGTAAAGTCACGTAGAGGGGAAGTAATAAAAGAATAAAAATAAAACATAATAAAAAATATGATAATTAAAAGCAAGGTTTAAGTGACGTATAACGTGTATTGTGAACTTCTTTTGCACCATACGTAGCCAACCGTGCTAATCGGAGGTGCGGAAAATAAACATGATCATGGTCACTGATTAAACATGTTCACTGATTCAAAATAAAATAAAATGTTTATGGGCTCCTTCTGGAAACACAGAACGGTGTTGCAGGCCGACTGGAATCAAAGTGATGAAATAAAAGAGGCAAGCCAAGGGCAACGTCGAGTGCTTTTTGGAAAATTACATTTGACAATTAAAAGCAACGACATCGGTGCGCGTACAGAAAAGCAGGATTCATTCCCTGCATATTACCCGCCGTGACATCAGAAATACAAACTCGGATAAAGAACGTGGAAACAGGAGCTGAAGAGTGTGTATAGGTACGGTCAGATAAATGCTGGGAATGCCATTGACAAACAGAAAGGGGAACGCATGGATCGTTGACTAAATTGCATAATAGAAACTTATTCAGGACAATAGAAGGGATGCCAGCCGATGATGGAATATCAGCCAAAGGAGGGAAGCGCTTGAGAGGATGACCCCAGAGGAGATAGAGCAATGAGCAGGAGCGAGTTGGATTGTGGCATTCCAGGACCGAGAAGGATGGCGACAATGTGGGGGAGCTTACCTCTTCCACGAAAAGATAGTGGCTGGTGACAGTGCCGGATGATCCTCGTAGCAAAAGTAGCTACACATGCTGCAGGCCCTGCACTTTCAAGGGCCCCGCGCTAAATACTTATAAGCTATCAATTCCGGTTCAGTGGTTCTGCACTCGCTCAATTACTATAGTACTATACTGCCTTCAGCTTCTATGAACGACTGGGTGTTTAAGGTTCGCGATTTGTCGTATTACCTGGCTGTATAGCAAATGAAAAAATACAATTACTTTATCATTCAAGTTAAAAATGTGTGTGTTTGAATATTCATGTTTTTTTTTATTTAGGGCCATGCTACAGGCCCAGCACTAGCTTAATCCGGCACTGGCTGGTGATGGTTTACTAAATGTTTTTCACAAAAATGAAAATTATAAGTAGAGAATTATAGCTCAATATTTTGTTCTGTTTATAAAGGGACACAAACTATAACATTAATATCCATAGTTGAGCAAGATGTAACCAAGATGTAACCAAGATGTAACCAAGATGTAACCAAGATGTAACCAAGATGTAACCAAGATGTAACCAAGATGTAACCAGGATGTAACCAAGATGTAACCAGGATGTAACCAAGATGTAACCAAGATGTAACCAGGATGTAACCAAGATGTAACCAAGATGTAACCAGGATGCAACCAAGATGTAACCAGGATGTAACCAGGATGTAACCAAGATGTAACCAAGATGTAACCAGGATGTAACCAAGATGTAACCAAGATGTAACCAGATGTAACCAAGATGTAACCAAGATGTAACCAGGATGCAACCTAAATTGGCCAACCAACAATGTGAGCAAGCTCGATTTTGGAAAGCTTTTGCCACAATAGAGAACATGCAAATAATTAATCATATTTCAGAAATAATAAATGAGTATTAAGCGCCAATATGCGTGTAATTTTTGTGAAAGATTTTGACTCGAATGAAAATGATGAAGCCACCAAAGATCTCATGCATCAATGTCTGATCAAATAAATAAAAAACCAATAGCGTCATCGTGGTGAGAAGTGGTTGTCTTTCAGTGTGATTCATAAACACGTGGATTAGGGAACGCATTGAATTGAGAGACATCTTATTAACTCTTAATTTTGGAGCTTTCGTGACTGCAGGAATTATTCTTTGGTTTTACGGTAAAGTCATGTATAAAAATAAAATAATAAATTAAATAATAGCATACGACGTTTCGATTGCAACACAAGCAATCATCATCAGGTATAATGAAATAGCGACATAGAATATAACCAGAAAACTATAGACAGACATATAAGCAGACAGATATCACCAAGATACATAGAGAGAGCAACCCAGGTACAGAGAGAGGTGATCGTCTCTGTGGGGTGCCTTAAATAGACAGAGGGGGGCGGAGGCAGAGAGAGGGAGGGGGTAGGGAAAACATTTACATGTCAATGAGTACGAAGGGAGGGGAGTAAGGTAAGCAGGCTTAGAGGGAGACAGAACACACTAAATTAAATAACCTAGCAATATGTCTGTCTATAGTTTTCTGGTTATATTCTATGTCGCTATTTCATTATACCTGATGATGATTGCTTGTGTTGCAATCGAAACGTCGTATGCTATTATTTAATTTATTATTTTATTTTTATACATGACTTTACCGAAAAAACCAAAGAATCTTATTAACTGTTTATGTAAGCAATTAGGCTTGCCTAAGGACACGTGTCGCAGTCATGATGGGTGAGAGACAAGACGTAATGGCAGCCAAAGTATGGAAAACAACCACCGCATGGATGAGCAATGAAATCGGTTTATGCACGGAAATTAGAATCATTGTGGCACCGCAGGGCCACCGAGAGATGTTGACACGACGGCAAGAATCATCCAGCAGCGGACAGACTTAATGATGATGATCTGGCAGTTATGTTAGGTACAAATCTTGATCGCCAAAATAGCAAAAATGGCTATACACCATGTGTGTTTGTGCCATCTGCAAGGGCATAATGAGTACAGTTTATCGAAGCATCGCACAGGGTACAAGTTTAAATCCCAGACAGGGGTCGACTGACCTATCATCTTTGCGCGTAGATAAAATGAGTACCACTTGGTAGGGAATTATCATCGGTTGTCTTGTGGATGGAAAGACCAACTTATGTATGGAAAGGCAATGTGGGTGGAATGTCAATGTCTGCCGTTCGTGTTCATTAAATAAGACGAGCGAAATCTCATTGCTTATTTGAGCACAAAGATAGGGTGCTTTGATACCGGTTGGAACCACTGTAGTTAATTTACGTAGACTCACAGAGAATACATAGAGTATATGCAACCACGTGGACGCTGCCGCGGTATAGATAGGTCCACTGCAGTCGATCGGGTATAGATAGGTCCACTGCAGTCGATCGGGTATAGATAGGTCCACTGCAGTCGATCGGGTATAGATAGGTCCACTGCAGTCGATCGGGTATAGATAGGTCCACTGCAGTCGATCGGGTATAGATAGGTCCACTGCAGTCGATCGATAGCATGTGTGTGGTGGGAATAAAGTGTGGGTACTGTCACATCTTGCAAAACATCATGGCCAGAATGGAAGACTAGGCCAACATAGCCTCGAGAGAGACTCTATAACTCCCCTGCTAGTAGAAGCTTGTTCACCAGCAGTGGCATGAGTTAGCAATTTCAGCGCTGCACCTTTATCGATACACAACAAACCACAGGTGTGTTGCCCTGCCTCTATATATACCTGTGCTCCTGTTTTAAATAATGAAGGGTTTTTTTTTTTTAACTTTCATCACCTATTCTATTATTGTTGTTTTAAAGCTGGGCTGCATTTATATAAATCCCCAGAGGGATGTACGCACAAAGCATTGTTCAGCACAACTTCATTGTTGCAAAATGTTTTCCAATGGTACCATCACATTACACATTACACAAAGGGCAAGCGTGCCCACAATGCATGAACGTGTCACTGAACGTGTGAACCGTGTGTGGTGTTACTGAACCGTGTGCGTGTGTGGAGTTCACCCCCATGTGGCTAAACCTGCATTTGTACATTTGGTTTTCACAAATCGTAAAAAAACACACCAATTGATTATCGTGGCTGCAGATAGAAAACATCGAATGAGATGTCACCGCAGTATTTATAACAGTACAGGCAATACTACACGCTTTACAAAAACGCTCAAACATAATCTAAACAGGAACTTCGAATGCCTCTCCCATTACTTGTATGATTGCATAACCGGCTTTGGAGCCGGGATGGCATGTTTTTGTTGTTGTTGTTTGTAGACCCTGAACAGACACAAAGACAAACTCCTCCCATATAGCCTGTACAGACTGGAGGGACAAGTGCTGTTAGCAAGCACCTATGCACACGCACACATTGCACACAGTCATCCTTTATATTATCGTCTTCAGCGGCAATGATCAACCCACTGCTTGAGGACCGTACCCTCGCCATCCTCACGGACTTACCATGTCATAATACACACCTCGTTCCGCACACGATCTCACACCACGACGCTCCACATCTTCTCCGGAATCTCCTCTCTCTTTTGGCTACATTCCAACAAAACGTCTGTTAGCATCACAAGGGGCGCTGTGTAATGGTTAGCACACTGGATTTGCGATACAGAGGTTGCCGTTTCGTGCTGTAGGTGTGGCAGTATTAATGGGGAAACCACAATTCGTTGATTGGCAAAGTCGTGTGCGGTGGGGTGAAGTGGGGCCACGTCCACCTATATCCATAATGTATGGTCAGCGTGGAAGAGTAGGCCAAATACCTGACAGAGGGACTCTCTCCAGCTCGCTTTAGTTGGAGGCCCGTTTGCGAACAGTGGCATGGGCAGGTGTTGTCATCGCAGGGCTAAATCTTTACCTTTTAAATGTATAACAAGTTGGGCGATCCAGATTTCAGAAATT